TCTCTCTCTCTCTCTCTCTCTCTCTCTCTCTCTCTCGTCGGTTATGAGTTTACCTACTGATTTAAAGTTTGAGTCTATAGCTTTCTAAACGACTAAATTAAGCATTTTCTTGGTTTGCTGCCCTAAAGGAGGTCAATAAAATCTCAATTCTACTTTTTTTTAATAGTCTGAATTTGCAAGCATGATTTGTCCTGTTATCTTTCACTAAATGATATTATTAACAATTTGCTATTGTTGACTGTTTTATGTGTTTGTTAATGACGTATGGCTAAAAAATAGATTATGGAATCATGAGTTCCATAAGTTATTGAAATTAGAACTATGTATTGATCCTAATGAACATATGATAATATATACCTACTGTTAAGCTTTGAAAACATCCTAAAAAGACTCAAGCTATTCAGATATTTAGTTTTGGTGTTTTGTTAGTACTATCATGTTTATTATACAATCTTGACTTAGGCATTACTAATATTTGTAGTGGCTCACTTGACAAATTAGACTCGAACAAACATGAACATGTTTAGTGGTAAGATAAGATTGTTATACACTAGTTCAAGACCTTTAAAACAATTTTATCTTCCTGACATGCCTCTGTGATTCTGCTGATTCTTAGAAGTTCATCAAACTCATGATCGTTTGATCACATTATATAAACATGTCTTAAGCTAATTCCTACATTATCTTGGTACGTGTTATGCTGATCTCTGTGCCCTTAACTAAAGTCGTGAGGTTTAGTTGAGATGTGTTCATTCCATTTGTTGTACTTAAGTATTAATATTAAGTTTCACTATGTCTGAAATCTCACCCTTACTTTGTCTGACAAGATCCCTAATGTAATCATTCCCTTTTTCTGAAATTCATGAAGGGATGTTGCTCATTTGATTATGTTAACATCCTTATAATACTATGATCCTTACTAAATGTATAATGTGGGTGTTCCTGTGAGCACCTAATTTTTGCCCTAATGCAAATTACTCCTAAAATAATCTAAAATAGCTTTTATTATTTTTATTTTTATTGAAATTTAGGAATTTTCTTTAGAGAATGCTTTAAATCATAAAAATCATCAAAAAAATATTTTTTTATATTTCATTTAGTATAGTTTAGGATTTTAATTACATGAAAAGACTTAATCATATGTTAAAACTATTGTTAAAATATAAAAAAATCACAATAATACATGTAAACTTCCTCAGTTTTTTCTTTTACATTTTTAGGTTTAATTAATTTGTTTAAATTTGGAATCCACATATTAATTAGCTTAAGTAGATGTTTCAAATAAGGGGTTAATCTTGCAAATTAATTTCTAAGTGTTATGTTAGTTAGAGGGGCTAATATTGCAAAAATTATAGAAGGGAAAAGAGTAAAAATTGTGTGGGGGAGTCATTTTTTAAAGTGGTATTAACTTTTTATCCAGCATTTTTAATGCTTAGCAATAGTAGCCACTAATATATTAAAATTAATATGAAAAGACTGTGTTACCCTTTCTTCTATCGCTTTCATGCTAGGGAAAATCTCTTAGTTATCACAGCTCCATCTTGATGTACGCAAACAACTTAAATAACGACACCAACTGCAATGCTCGTTTGCCTTTGCACCTCTAAATAGCATCACTAATCCAACTGTGAATCTGTAAGATTTGAGAGAAAAAGAGAAACAAAAGGAAAAAAAGCAAAAGTTAGTGCAAACCTTATTGAATGAGTAGAATTTGAGTTATTATTGCAGCGAAATCAGATACAAGCAAGCAGCGGATTTGCCAATAAAGATTTTTAATTGGCAGAAACATAGACGCATTGTAATATCGTCTATTCGGTTTTGGGTCTGTCAAACCATTGACAGAGAGTTCAATTACTTACATGGTAGTATTGTTATTACACTTTACACCTTCCCATTTACAACAACCACTTTTCTTATTATCAACCCAAGTGGAAAAACGGTTGTAATGAGTTTTAAGGGCTGCTTTGATATGCTACACAATAATTCTCTCTTCTTCCAAACAGGCTGAATTACCATACACCAAACCAACAAAACAAGCTCAAAAGTTAAAGATAATAGGTCCTGAACTTACAGTTACAAGTTCAAAAGTTAAGGACAATAGGTCCTGAAGTCCTGAACTTAGACTAACAAGCTCAAAAGTTAAGGTCAATAGATCCTGAACTTAGGCTAAGAAGCCCAAAAGTTAAGGACAATAGGTCCTGAACTTAGACTAACAAGCTCAAAAGTTAAGGATAATAGGTCCCGAGCTTAGGCTAAGAAGCCCAAAAGTTAAGGACAATAGGTCCTGAACTTAGACTAACAAGCTCAAAAGTTAAGGATACTTGGTCCTGAACTTAGGCTAAGAAGCCCAAAAGTTAAGGACAATAGGTCCTGAACTTAGACTAACAAGCTCAAAAGTTAAGGATACTTGGTCCTGAACTTACAATTACAAGTTCTAAAGTTAAGGACATGTAGTCCTGAAGTTAAGTTCAAAAGTTAAGGACATGAGCAGAAGGGTATTTTCATCCGGGTAGTTAAAGTTTATTAAAGCAGTGGCTAAATACTAAAGACATTTAAACAGTGGTTTAAAAGTAAATACATGTGTTATTAGTGGCTAACCGTGCACCTCCCCGGAAAAAGAAGAGGTTAGTCTTTATTGAAACTGGGCTAAGAGCACAATTGTTTAAAGTGGCCCATTTGCCAAATTAGCCCAAACCTACAAAATTGGCCCCGCCCAAAACAAAAACTTCAGCACACTTGCTACTTCAGGCCCGTCTACTAAAATGCTGAAGTTTTGCGTGATTGTCTTTGCTACTTCAGCCCCGTATGCATCTATAGCTGCTTTTTGTATCACGTTTTAACTCGTGTCCGTTTTGCAAAAAAATTACAAGCGTACCCGCTTTTCAGCCCCACACTTGCTACTTCAGGCCCGTCTACTAAAATGCTGAAGTTTTGCGTGATTGTCTTTGCTACTTCAGCCCCGTATGCATCTATAGCTGCTTTTTGTATCACGTTTTAACTCGTGTCCGTTTTGCAAAAAAATTACAAGCGTACCCGCTTTTCAGCCCCACAACTAGGGGTGTTCATGGTTCGGTTTGGATCGGTTTTTCCCTAAAAAGAAACCAAACCAAGTAAGTCGGTTTTTCAAATATTAGAACCAAACCAAACCAATTAAGTCGTTTTTTCTCGATTCGGTTTATGTCGGTTTTTCGGTTTTTTCTGTTATTTGTCGGTTTTTTCTTAAATATAAGACATACACTATCAAATACATATTCCGGCGACCACATTTTCAATGTAACACTATCAAATCAATTGCCCTTTGAGAAATCTATTATTTACCAAGATATATTGATGATAATTGAATCAAATAGTGATGGATAATTTAAAGACTTAATTAAAAATATATTATTTTTAACATGAAATGGATTCTTACACTAAACAAAAGAAAACTACCAATCAAACTAGAATGTAAAGGTAAAGAACTATATTAAAAGTGCAAACTATTAACAGTTACCATAAAATTTTTGAAACTTTGTATAACAATATACATATATATAGGTCTAATAATAAATTTGAAATAGCTACTCCTATAGTCGGTTTGGTTCGGTTTTTTTCTGATTAAAACCAAAACCAAACCAAATTTGATCGATTTTTAAAATTCAAAATCAAAATCAAATCAAACCAAAAAGTATTAGTTTTTTTGGTCGGTTTGATTTGATTTTTGGTTTGGTTCGGTTTTTGGGATTTTTACGAACAGCCCTACCCACAACAACAACGTTCCTCCCTTTCGCTCCCTTAAACGCCCAAGACCTCTCCACTCAGAATAGACGGATCCCCTCCCCTTTAGAGAAATAGCTGCCCCTCCTTCCTCTCAAACGAACCCCTTAGACCCCCAAAACCCTAGCCGCCGCTGCTTTCTCCCTCCTCATTCCCTCCTTTGTTCGTTCTCTTCACTTCACCCACACAGAAATCTCTCATAAAACAAAGCTAAAAAAGAGTTCTGCATTCAAAACAAAAAAATCTGAGTTCCAGATTTGAAAAAACCAAAAAGAATTCCCATAAACAAAACAAACGATCAAAAAGGGAATTCGAAGCTGTTGGATTGAAGAGCCTGTTGTTTGTTGCTGGAATCGTTTCCCTCAAGTTGCCGAGTTTCATCTCTACAACTTCAGACCTTCATTTGGTTGAGTTCATTCGTTTTTTCTACTATTAGGTATGTGGATTTTCATATGTTATCCTTCATTTGGAGCTTGGGAATAAAGCATGAGTTGTTCATATTCAGTGTGTGATTAATCTTTTAGATCTGGTCTGTTAATTTTCCAAATCTGCCCAAGTCTCCCTCCTTTGATTAATATCTGATGCTATAATACATGTTTCAATTAAGTGTCAAAAAAATTTGTTAAGTAATGGTTGATTGAATTGATACGGTTTGTTGACAGAACCCGCTTCCTAAAAGCAGTGATTCATGCTTAAGGTGAATTTACAGGATTAAACTAATTCCAAGTGGTTTTTGTTTTGAGTTGTATGATTAATGACAGTTGTCTCCTTCTGAATTGATAATCTGTTAGGGAGATAGAAAGACATAAGTTGTAATTGCTTCTGTAGTTAGTTAGAACGTGAAGTATGAATTACTATTTGGTCATTGTGATGGGTTTGATTCATCTACAAAGTTATTCGTAAGTGCTAAGGATAAAATAAAAGGCCATTTGTGCAAATGTGGTATCATATGGGAATGGGGATACTAGATTAGTAGTATTTAATGATAGCCTATGAAAGGCCATTTGTGCAAATGTGGTATAACATGGGAATGGATGGATATTAGATTAGTAGTATTTAAGTCATCTTGGGCATGGGCATTTTCACTACTAGGCCCACAATTGAAACCAAGCAAATAACACCCGCCCTAAACCCCTAAACGATTCTAAAACCCTAATAACCCTAATATTTTCATAGGCGTAGTTGTATCTTCCCTTTACCAATTTTTCTTTGTATCTTCCCTTTTCCTCTATTGGTAAGTGAACGCTTAAATTTTACTGTTTCTTGCTATTTTTTTTTGTTTCTAATGGTTCCAACTAATTTGTTATTAAGCCATAGTAATTGTTGTTATGATAGTTGAAGTTTTGCTTAACCACAATAATATTAATTTAGTTTTCAATTTGTTTTTAGGCAAGGATGATGAAAAGTAAAACCCCATGGAAAATTAAAACCCCACAGAAAGGAAGAATCAGAAGGGAGCTTGAAAAACGTGCTCCTAAACTGGTGAGTTTGATCTTAGCAAACCACTCCCTTTTTTTTAAAAGATGAGATTTTTATTGTGATGATAATTTTTGTTTATTTACTTTGGTTTCAGGTTGAAACTGGGAAAAAGACATTGATATTACATGGTACAAAAACAAGCCAAGTGTTGAATGAGGTGATGACTGAAATTTACCATTTGAAGAGGGATAATTCTGTTAAATATACCCGGAAGAATGATAATGTTAGACCATTCGAGAGCGGGGGCGAGGCTTCTTTGGATTTTTTCTCTCTTAAGACAGATTGTAGCCTTTTTGTGGTGAGTGGGTACATGCCCTTTTCCTATTTGAGGCATTTTTTGGTTCAGCGGGTAGAAAAGTGCTGATATATAACTGTTCCATGTTAATTTGGATTTGTTTCTGTGACTCCCTGATTTGTGTTGTTGGTGAAGCTTTTTCTGAAGGTAGACATAAATTAATCGTCTTTTAACTATTTAGCAGAAGAGTACAGATAGTTTTTAAATGGAATTGCGGAGGTGCCAAAATGCAAATAATTTAAATATCGAGGCACGTTTCAAGAGGATGGAATGATAGATCAAGATGCTACTCTTAAGAAATCGGATGGGTGAAACGGAGAAGTGCTACTAGGGTGTTGTGTGATAGAAGAATGCCTACCAACATGAAAGGTAAGTTGTATAGAATAGCTATAAGGCCGACTATGTTATGTGGTAGTTAATGTTGGGCTGCTAAAGTTCAACATATCCACAAGATAGTGTTGCAAAAATGCGCATAGCACAAGGTTAGAGGAGATTAAAAATTATCGCATTCATTAGAAGGTGCAAGTAGCACACATTGAGGATAAAATGATAGAAGGTCGCTTGAGATGGTCTGGTCATGTCGTGCGTCGACCAATGCGGGAAGGTGTTAAAAGGGGACGGGTAGGCCTAAAATTACATGGAAGGAAGTTGCCTTGAAATACCTACAAATTCTTGGAATCAATACATATTTAGCTAAAGTTACGCACAATGGAAGAGTAAAATCCATATAGGTGATACCTACTAGTTAGGAATTGATTTTAGACTTGGTAGAAAACTTCTATTATTACTATTATATATTTATCTTTTTTTACTTGCACATTTATTTTATTTGGTAATGATGCTGATATGATTTGAGCTTAATGAAAGGAATAAGAATTCACATCACCGACTCCCAACTTTTTTGGGACTGAGACGTAGTTGTTGTATGTAGTCAAATAAATTCTATGCTTTGATGAGGAATTCTTGATCAAGACCAAGGTTAAACATTTGATTTGATGCTATTGTTTCCACTTGACGTGATGTCTCATGTTCTACATAGCATAGTTCCAACTCTTCCAAGTAGTATTGCTCTGGTTAAAATGTCTTTTACATTAATATAGTAGATTTCTACTCTTCATGCAGATGAGAAGTGACACCTACTTTTAATTTATATACTCAGTGTGAGATGAGTGCTTTCAACTCTAGTTACCATGTTGAAAATCTTGTTTTGAACAAAAGGCTATCTTTGTATAAACTGTTGAACTTTTTTAGTTTATCTCTTTATCATTATCATTCGTTCAAGACTTTTACCTTTTTGCTGCCTATCTTTTGTTTCCTATACCCACTTACGGTCTTTGGTTATTTTTCAGTATGGTTCTCACTCCAAAAAGCGCCCTAACAATCTTGTTATTGGGCGAACCTACGACCACCATATTTACGATCTTGTAGAAGTAGGAGTGGAAGAGTTCAAAAGCATGAAGTCTTTCAAATATGATAAGAATTTGGCTCCTAAAATTGGGTCAAAGCCCTTTTTTACCTTTATTGGAGAAGGATTTGAGAGTGTTGAAGAGTTGAAACATTTAAAAGAAGTTTTGCTTGATCTATTCCATGGAGAGGTTTGTTCTTTCCCCAATAACTTATTTACTTAGCTTCTTTGAATTGGAAGGAGAACCATTAATGCGTGTGGGTTCAATAATGCAGGTTGTGACCAACTTGAACCTTGCTGGGTTAGATCGTGTATATGTATGTACAGCTGTGTCGCCAAAAAAGGTTTTCTTGACCCATTGTGCTCTGCGGTTAAAAAAATCTGGCACAGTAGTTCCAAGAATAGAATTAGTGGAGGTTGGCCCGTCCATGGACTTAGTAGTTCGGCGACATCGTCTCCCTGATGACAGTTTGAAGAAAGAAGCTATGAAAACTTCTCTTGATAAAGCAAAGAACAAGGTTTGATTGACGTAGTCACTTTTTCAAATCTTTATCTGACTAACTTGAGTACTGATCTTACTGGCTGTTGTTTTCAGGAGAAAAATGTTGTCAAAGATGCCATTCAAGGAAAATACGGGAAGATTTACATTCCTGATCAGAAGGTAAGAATATAGTAGCTGGTTGAAATTTTAATAAATAAAATTCTCTGACTCTGTTTACCAGTGAAAACTTATTCCTTTCTGTAGGTTGGAAGTGTGGCACTGCCTCACAAAGCAAAAGGAGTTAAAAGGGAGCGTAGAGAAGCTAAGTTGAAACATGTGACAGACCAGCCTGAAGAAAAGAAACAGAAGCTGGATTCTGAGTGATTTTCAATTCCAAACTTCTGCAGTGTGATGCTCTTCTGCTGAGTCAAATCAATTTTGTTCTATCTCCTTTGCTTATATGCCTTAGGCTCAATGCATATCTGGGTCTAACCTCAGCGAATGAATGATCGCAGCAGGTTCTCTGAATTTCTACGTTGAGAGTAGTCTAATCCCAGCTTTCTGTGAACCAAAGGCCGGATCATTGTTGTCAAAAATATCAACCTCCCGCTTTCTGACCTCAGAGCGATGGTTCTCACTGTTATTTTAATTTTTCTTATGTTTGAAACCCATTATGTGAATTTTCACCATTTGGTATATTTGATGCGTTACTAGTTATTTGGAAAATTTTCCTCTATAGCTTGTTATTTAGTTCTATCTGTTTGGAGGATCATTCTGAAGTCTGAAATCTGGAAATATTTTCATTGTATGCAACTCCTTGATACGAATCGACATCCTAAAAAAGTAGTTATGTTTAAAAAACCACTGTATTCCCATAAATGGGTTTGGGGAGAGAAGTGTGTACGCCGACCTTACTCCTACCTTATAAAGATAGAGATACTGTTTTCGATAGACCCTCGGCTCAAGGAACAGTGGAGATAAAGTAACAAGTAGCAAATAATAGTAATAACAATATATTAAGGTAACGGATGCGAATGACACATGTGATAGTAAAGAACCATGAATAAGATAATACAAAAATAGTCCTAGTACTACTCGCGTAGGAGGAACACACTCCTCCCCTTCCTTCCATTCCCTAGAATTTAAATACCACCTCTTTTCGCTATGCAACAGTTTTCCTTCAGGATTTCTTAACGCGTGCCATTTCAAGTGTCTAACAAGTTGCACTCAGAGTTTAAGTCGAAAATACATATACCACACTTCATCAAGTAGTTCATTGCTGACACCAGGATGGGACTCCCGAATTACACCTGGATTAAATGCAAATCCAGCAAGAATTGTCGTCTTTCTTTGGTGGACTGAAGTAAGGCATCAGAGATCTTAGCAGCATATGTAGAGAGAGATAGATCATCGTTTGGAGAGCAGACGGGACTACCAATCCCAGAGTGAATTAACCTTGTCTGCACTACCACCTTAGGGATATGATGAAGTAGGTGAGGAAACTAGAGCAGATACACCAGCAGTCAAACTGATGCTTGTAGGTAGAGGACTCTGGATCTAAGTTTGTGTATGTAGAGGAGTAAAGTTGGAGACTCCTTCTTAGATGCAAATATCAATCTCTTTTCCACCACTAAACTCAAGAGTTTTGCAACGGGATTAGAAGCAGCATTTGACATATTTGAAGTCTGCAATAATGCACTACATACCAGACTTAGAGGAGGACCAGGTGATAGTTATGGTCGTTCGACATTTCTCTAGAAATAATTTGGGGGATTTGTGTGAATTTAGGAACAATCAATGAACCCTGATCACCGAAGGAGAATTGGAGATGAGAATCTAGAGAGAGAAATATTACATGAGAGAAAGAAAATAATTTTTCATATTTGAGTTGGTTTGTATAGTGTGTTTATATATATATATATATATGGAAAGGTTTTAACTAACTAACCATCTAACTAACAAACTAACTTCATAACTAATTCTCTGATAATCTAGAACCCTCTATACTACTATATACATATCTACTATGTCACTGCATTCTCATTACTCCCCCTCAAGCTAGGTGGTGCAAAAATGTTTAGCACACTTAGCTTGCTTACAATATATTCATGTTGTGGCATTGCCAATCCTTTTGTCAGAATGTCTTCCTCTTGATCTGTGACTCCTATATGTTTTGTCTTTATCAGTCCTTCCTGAAAACTTTTACCTAATAAAATAGCAATCTATCTCTATATGCTTTGTTCTTTCAAACATTAGGTTGGCTGCAATATGCAATTCTGCTCTGCTATCACTATACACTTCAATTGACAACTCTACATTATTCCCTAATTATTTCTTCAATTAAGGAAGGTGGGAAGTTCTTGGAGGGAAGGATGCCAAGGGTCTATTGGAAATAGCCTCTCTACCCCAGGGTAGGGGTAAGGTATGCGTACACACTACCCTCCCCATACTCCACTAAGTGGGATTATACTGGGTTGTTGTTGTTGTTATTGTTGTTGTTGTTGTTGCTGTTGTTTATTTCTGCAATGTTGTCAACCATACTACCTCTAAGACTGCACTTGCCATGCTTCTGTAGCTGAACTTTTAGACATTGTGTTTTGCTTCTTGGATTTCTAAGAAAGTAGAGACTCTCCATACTTCACTAGGAAATATGATACTAACTTACTTGTGTTGGGATAAGGTGCATAATCTGCATCACAGAACACACTTAATCTGTTTCTGGTGCTACTACTTAGTAGAATTCCCAGTCCTGGTTCTCTTTTAAGGTACCTTACCACTCTCAAGGCTGCTTCCCAATGAGACTTCTTGGGACTCTACAAGAACTGACTAAGTGTTTGTGCTAAGAAGGATATATTAGGTCTGGTTAGTGTCAGGTACAACAACTTTCTAATAAGCCTTTGGTACCGCCCAATGTCATCTAGTAGAGTGTCATCCTCAACTCATGTTAGTTTATCTAGTTCTGGTACTGTCAATTTTGCATTTGTCTCTAAAAGAGTCCAAGTTGGCTTAGCCCATATGAGCCCCAATTCAGATATTATCTCCAATGCATATTTTCTTTGGTTGATCAGATTCCTTCCTTTGGCCTGCTGAATTCCATTCCAAGAAAGAATTTCAATTCCCCCAAATATTTAATCTTGAATGCCTGATGTAGGGAGTTCTTGGTGGCTTCACTCAACTGTAGGTTGCTCCCTGTCACTAGCATGTCATCCACATAAACTAGAATCACAACAATGTCTGATTCATGTTGTTTGATGAGCAAAGAGTGATCTAGGCTGCTTTGATGAAAACCAGAAAGCATCAGTGCTTTTGATAATTTCATATTCCATTGCCTACTGGCTTGTTTAGGCCCATACAGGGATTTTACAAGTCTGCAAACCACAACTGGCTCCCCTTGACTTGTAAAAACCTGTCGTAGTTCCATATAGACCTCATCGTGAAGGTCTTCCTGTAGAAAAGCATTGTACGCATCTAGTTTATGAACAAACCAATTCTACATGGCAATAATAGAAAGAACAGTCCTAACAATATCTATCTTAACCTCTGTAGAGAAGGTCTCATTGTGATAATGACACGACAGGGGATTCAAGAATTACTAAAGAAAAAATAAGAAAATCAAGAAACGTGCGGAAGCTAAAAGAAAATAGGGAAACAAAAAAGAAGATAGAAATTAAAGATAGATTGAATTCAAGAAAGAGTTTCTTGAATTCAAGAAGTCTATTCTTGAAATTGAATTCTAACAGCAATAATTAGCTAATGAAGAACTAATCACCTTTGGTAGAGAACTAAAAACAAGAGATAGATTGTGAAACCCGACCCTTTAGAATAACAAGTACAACAATAAGCCTAAACTTATCACCTTTCTTGAATACCTAGAAGTGATCTAAGATTTCAAAGAATTCATCTTACCATCTTAAGTTGAGTCTTGAAGGTTGAAGAATAAATCCAAGAGCAGCCACACACAAGAGTGCAAGAAAAATCTCACAATTTTTATTGATATTGCCTATAATAATCTATGTCTAAAAACAAAAAAGATACCCCTTTATATAGAGAGGGGTCATGAAATTCTACCTAAAAAATAAGGAAATAAAGTCCTAAACTACTTTGGACAACAAGTCCAACTACCTTAGGAAAAGAAAAATACTAGGAAGTAAAAACCATGTCATTCTTCGAAAGTAATTTCAAAAATCTTAGAAAAAGGAATACATAACCTTAAATAACTTGGAAAGTAATATATATAGTCCTAATCAACAACTTCTTTACATCCTTTATCCTTAATCTCTTCCTCCCAATTAATAACTTCTTTATTTGCACTTGAAGTCTAATGACCTTGTTTTGCAACTCCTTAGCTTGACATCTTGTTAAAGACCCTCTTTGAGATTCCAAAGATTTATCCTTTCCCTTGAATAGATTTGAGCTTCCTAGGATGCTATCACATTATACCCCTAAGCTACTAGCCTAGCTTCAAACCTTTCTACCTCCCCATTAGCCTTAATTATTACTTTGTAAACCCATTTGCATCCTATAGGTCTCTTTCCTGGTGGTAGACTAACCAATTCCCAGGTATTATTCTCCTGTAATGCCTAAATTTCTGCATGCATAGCTTCTACCAAACATTTTATCTTGGGAGGCTTGCTGGAAGTTCTGAGGTTCTGTGAATGCTGAAAAAGCTCCAAGATAGATTTGATGAGATGATGATAACACGTCATACTTGACAAAGTATTCAATAGGATATAAAACTAAGCTAGCAGAAGGTTTGTTGGTAACATAATCAGTCATCCATACAGGCTCCTTGGAGCCTCTTTAAGATCTCCTCAAAGGGGCACTAGTGTTATTGTTTCTTGTGGACGGAAAGATTTCCTCAACAGGTTCATCTAAGTCTGGTAGCTCATGTGAGGTAGAGATATTCTGAAGGCTCTCATTGTCATGAACACCCCCCCGTAGGTGAAGCATTCTAGGAGTCAGAATTGATAGGGATATCTGCTAAGACAGTTGCAGGATCAACTGTTGTATTTGACTCCAATACATGTGGATATGATGTTGTTGAAGTTTCTAGCAAACTGTTAATGTCATGTATGAGAAAAGGATCCATTGTTTGATCTATCTTTGCTAACTGAAGCTGAAATAAAAAGATATTTTCTCTAAAAATGACATCCCTGCTCACAAAGAATAGATGCTTCTCCAGATCATATAGAATGTAACCTTTGGTTACACTGGAATATCCCATAAACACTGCTTTAACTGCTCTCCTGGCAAGTTTATCTCTCTTTGGTAATGCAATAGCAAACAAATACACCCTAGAGTCCTTAAATTATTGATAGAAGGTTCTTGTTACAGAACACCTCATAAGGTGATTTTCCTTCAATAGCTATAGATGGTAGTTTGTTGATCACATAAGCTGCAGCTAATATGCAATGACCCAAAAATCTGAGCGGGATGTGACCCTGAAACCCTATTATTGTGTCAACCTCAAGGAGATGTCTATGCTTCCTCTCTGCCACCTCATTATGTTGGGGTGTGTAAACACATGTTTTCTTATGTATAATTCCCAAAGATTTAAACAGTTCCTGCATTTCTGAGTTCACAAGCTCCATTCCATTATCAGATCTAATTGTCTGAACGACAACATTAAACTGAGTATCAATCATTTTAATGAAGTTCTTCAAGTCTATGATAACATCTGATTTGGATTTCAACAAAAAATCCATGTCACACGAGAATAAGTCATCTACAACTGTT